ATCAATTAGATTCACCGATGCTTCATAATTCATTTGAGTTCTTGCCATATTTTTCTTTTCAACAAACGCTTTTACTTCCTCCCTAACCTCAGACGGACAAAGGGGACATTGTATTACATTTTTAAATCCACCTATCAAATGTTGCTTGTGACGAGTTATCCCACCATTATATGTTTTTTGACAAAACACACATTTAATTGCGAATCTTGACGAGCCTTGTATAGCATAATTCCAAGCTATATCATTTCATTTAGAATTATCGGATGACGCCATTTCAACGCTGTTTTATAGAAAAAAATTATCAAGTCAATATGCAATTAATCTACTATATAAAGAAGACAAAAAAATAGAGCAAAAACAATGATTCTGCCTTTGGAGTTTGGAAACACTGCCTCTGGAAAAAAAGCAAAGAAAAAAAGACAAAAAAACAGAGCAAAACCAAAAATTGATTCTGCCTTTGGAAACAACAAAGAAAGAAGAACAAAAATGAAAATTTTGCCTCTAGAAAAACAGCAAATAAAGAAGAAAGACAAAATAGAGCAAAAAAAAAAAAATAAGAGAAGAAGAAAAGCCTTGGTTTTTGCTCGACAAAAAAAGCACAAATGCAGAACCTATTTGGCTCTGTTTCTATCGACAAAAAACAGAAGAAAAAAAATAGAGAAGAGAGAAGCATACCTCTGTTTTTTCGCTGTTGAAGCTTGAAGAAGATGAACCCAGATGATGAAGAAGAAGACTGAAGAAGACCGTTGATTTGTTCGCATGTGAAAAGCCCTAATCGCTGAAGTTTTTTTGTTCGCAGGTGAAAAAGATCTAAGCCCTAATTCCCGACTTAAGTCTTCTGCCTTTCTCTTTTTTTTTTTTAAAATAGCGACGCTACAGTCGCTACTCGCGACACTGCCGCCTCACGCAACACACCCTAAAGCGAGCGCTATTTGGAATCGCAACGCAACAGATGCTCTGAAGCGACACCCTCGCCTTGCCTCATGCTATTAGCGATGAGGCGAGCGCTATTTATAACACTGCATGGGTCATATTCTGAATAAGTTGAAGTAGCGGCATGTCCTGCCCACAGGTGTTTAACGGGCGGGCTGGGACGGGCTG